CCTGCTCTGAATGGCATGAGCAATGGAAGAATCAGGTATTACCTGTCCCCTTGACTTAGGTGCTAGTGTAGGTAAGACTACAGAAATTGGGTTTATGAGTGTATGGTGTATTATTTGAATTTTGAGAAAAGAGAATGAATATAACAAAAAAGAAAATGAATCAAAATAAACAAAAATCCCTCCAGTATATTTACATAAGCTAAGGTGCAGAGCTCTTAACTTGAAGGATTCCAACGGGATTTGGGAATAAAGAGGACCAAGAACTGGGTGTTAATTTAGAGAAGAAAGATCCTGGACTCACAAGTCAGGGCAAGAATATATATAGGAAAGCAAGGTACACTCATCCTGAAATCCAAACCACAAGAGCATAGGCTGAAGAAAGCCAACTATTGGACAGAGGGAGTCACACTCACTTTCAAAATGAATCCACCAGGCAATAGCTGGTTTTTTTTGGAATTTCTTGGGATCGGGGCTGGCATTTTCCCCTTTCCAACACAAGCAGTTACCCATTAGGTCTGATTTCAAGACCAATAGGGCAGTTGGAGTGTATTCTATAGTAGCCTGGTAACCAGGAGCCAATCAGAAAAGAGTTCCATCCGCATGCCCCCCAACTGTCACTTAGGCTCTTCATTTAAAAAATACCATGTCCCAGCAGGGACTGCCCTCTCCCTCCCCACCTCAGTTCTAGGATGTGTGTTTTTTTTCATGTGTTGCCTGGAGTTTCTCTGGGTTTTGTAGTTATACAAGTATTCTGGGCCAAGAGATTTACCAGAAAGCTTCAGTTAGTAATGGGTTGGTTCCACAGATGAATCTCCTAGTCAGAGTCATATAGCTTTTGTTTTCTCAAGGAATTTCATATATTCAAATTGTTGATTGTTTTTGCCCCTCAGTTCTCCTTGACTCTCTGTCAAGCAAGTATTCATTTACGCCTTCTACTTGGAACCCTGGTCATACTCTCAACAACCATTTCCTGCTTTGGATTCTGGGCACCAAATCCCCACTTCATGGCAAGAAGAAATTTGCCCCCCATCTCTATCCAACATTTATTTTCTTGCCTCAGTTTGTCCCTTCCACACAAATTCTAGATTTTTTTGTTTTGCTAACAAGTCATAAATTATAAGTTTCTCTTATAAAATTGATGTATCATAAAATGAAGCTCCAAGGCCCTGATCTGATAAGTTAACATTTTACAAGTACTGTGTTCATTCTGCTCTTCTAACAGACATACTCGTGTAATCATCACATATAATTTGATCTGACATTTGATAGATTTTATAGCATACTGAAATGCAGTATTACTTTATCATGGTAACATGCCACTCAGGGTGATTCTAGACTAATATGTAGTTTTATTAACTCATTGCTTCATTACTACCTTCCATTCTTCATTCATATATTCATTAATAGTGGGATTCAAACTGAGGACCTTGTGCTTTCCTGGCAGGTGTTATACTAGTGAGCTCTATCTTTCAACCTTATGTGAATTTTCTTTTTTTTTTTTTCAAAGTTTTATTGATAAACAGATAGCAATGAGACAGTTTCAAATCAAATCGGAAGTACAGTTTCAACAAATAATACACTGCATATATTC